CTTTGTATTAAAGAGGGTTTATTGTAGTTAGTTGTGTTTAAGGAAGTAACATGTTTTTCATAATATTACAAGTAATGGGTCCATGTAATTACATAACTTATATTTATTTCTACAATTAATGCACACATGTGTATAATTCTGTAAGTAAGTAAGTAAGTAAGTAAGTAACCTATAGCAGATACCTCCGAAGAAGATCTAAATACAGACCGGAACGTCGTGTAGCAAGTAATAAATATTCTTGGACTCTAAACGCGGCGTGCAATTCATTTCTGAGAGCCCGTGCCTCGTGCGCCGCGCATCATTAAGAGTCGTCAGCGGTAGCAGCGAATTTCAAAGCTTCCGGTTTCTTCTTTGGCCGGGGTGCGGGGGCGGAGGAGCAGTAGGAGGTAGTGCACGAGGAGGAAGGGAGAGGTGGGGAGGGAGGAGAGTAGAGAGAGAGAGGGGGAGTAAAGAGAGGAGAGAGAGGAAGGAGAGTGAGAAGAAAGAGGGGCGAGAGGAAGGAGAGTGAGGAAAAAGACCTAGGAGAGGGAGAAGAGTAAAGAGAGAGTGAGGAGAGGGAGAGAAGATAGAGGGAGTAAACTGAGAAGAGAGAGGGAATAATGAGGAGAGAGAGGGAGTAAAGTGAGGAGAGAGAGAGGGGAAAATGAGGAAAGAGAGGGAGTAAAGTTAGTCGAGAGAGGGAGTAAAGTGAGCAGAGAGAGGGAGTAAAGAGGGGAGTGAGAGGGAGGAGAGTGAGGAGAGTGAAGAGAGAGGTCGGAGAGTGAGGAGATAGATCAAGGAGAGAGGAGAGAGGAGAGAGAGGGAGGAGAGGAGCACGTGGCCCTCCCAAGGCGCGTCTGGGTCGGCGCGGCGACGGGCAGCGCGGGCGTGGCCCAGCCTCCGCGGCGGCGGCGACGGCCACGATGGAGGCGGGGGCGGGAGCGCGGGGGTTCGCAGCCGGCCGACGGCCACATTCCTGCAGCAGCGCGGTCACGCTTGGCGGGGCAGCAAGCGTTGACCCCCGCCGGCGGAGGCGCGGCGGAGGCGGAGGAAGAGGCGGAGGCGGAGGCGGAGGCAGAGGCGGAGGCGGAGCCGCCGGTGGCCGCCGCCGGGGTGACCGCCGGGCAAGCGCCCCGCGAGGCCTGACCCTGCGCGGAGACCTGTGCAAGGGCGTATGCAGAGCGCGGCCCACCCACGCGACGCGACAGCACGGGAGGGGCGGCTGGATTAGAGCCGATTCATTGCACGCCACCGGGCGAGTTGGAAACGAGGGCGGCTCCAGACAGTAATTAATGGAAGACGGTCTTTTAAAAGTTAAGTGTTGTGTATTAAATCGACAAAACTGGTTTTTTATTAAATTTTGTTTAACGGTTATAAATAAAATATTATTTCCAGTATTTACACACAAAAACCAGATCAAATTTAAAAACAAATGTAGTAGCTAAAGCTTTGTAGCAGAACTATCGGTTACTATTGTCATTACTAAGTGTCTGGATTCAAACTAGGTGCAGTTAAAAAAATTAATTAATTTTGAATTAAATCGTGACAATTTTCCAAAAAAAACCAACAAAAAAAAACCTGTACAAGATTCAGCCTTCAAGGACAGCATGTTATCTTAGTAAGTCTAGACATCGAAAAAGCATACGATATGGTATGGACACACCGCATAGCTGCTAAATTACTTAGTATTCGGTACTCAAAGGGCTATATGATTTTAAATTCCTACCAACTTTATTAGGGCAACAGATGTATTCAAGTACGTATAGGTACATAATTTATCAACATTTAAGAAACTTAATAATGCGGGCTACCGCAAAGATCAGCTGCTTAGTGTGACTCTACTTTTTTAAAATCGCATAAATGAATGCCTGATATGATATTGTAAGCCCAGTTGATCGTGCGGAATACGCGATGATATGGTCGTTAACTATGCAAAGGAACGGAACTTGGATTCAACAATGAATAATGCAACTGCTGTAAACTATATTACAAATGGTCATGAAAACCGGTTCAATTCTCGCCTGAATAATCTGAATGTATGATTTTTTCTAAAAATAAGCCCCGTCCCACCCGAAACATAATTCTGGGCACAAAGACATTAAGAACTGTCACACATCCAAAAAATCTTGGGACTTATATTTGACCACAGGCTCACACATGGCAGGAACATAATCTTAAAACATACGCAGAATGCAAAAATCGACTTAACAACTCAAGAGTATAAATTCACAACAACGGGGGATCAGAGCAAAAAACCTTACTATACTACATACAAAGCGCTTAATAAGAAGTAAGATAGATTCACGATCTATTGTTATAATTCAGCGTGCAATCCACTCCAGAAACTGGACACCTGCACAATTGCGGACTCAGAATAAGCACTCGGTTGCTTCACACAGTCCAATTGTAGTATTCCCATCGAAGCGGCTGAACTAACCTCACATTCGAAGACCAACCTGCCCATCAAATACGCTATTAAAGCCAAAATCCTTAAATAAGATAGATACGTAATGATGTATCTCCTGGAATTAGAAGTGGAAGATCCCAGTGTTCTAAGCACTTTCTATAACTAAGTATCTACGCTATTCAGCTCCTAACATTTCGAGCTTCCTATAGAAAGTTCAAAAGATTCCACACGCTGTAAATCCCTGAATCGTCAAACATTATTTGAAGTGATAAATCCTGGTTGAAGTTCAGCAAAACAACTTGACTTAAGACTAATGGAAACTCAAATATCTGCGAAGCGTATAAAAGATAATAGACATAAATAAGTACAAAATCTTCAATTGACGACGCATATCATCATTTTTTCCGAGCCATTGGGTGAAGAACCCAATCTTTCGTGAACTTCGGTTTATGAACATTGTATCAGGAAAATATGTTCAACATGCAATTCTGGAAGCGCTTCAAGATAACGCCATAACCAGTATCGATGCACTATCATCCAACTAATACAAATTCCTAAAGATATCTTCAAAATATATGATGAAACCAATCGCAAACGACGGCTCGAGAATTAAAGAACTCCTTCATTTGAATTAAACTTCAGGCTATCAGGTAGTTTTTCTTCTTATTACCTAATGCAGAGCTGTATCCAATTATCTATGCCCCGAAAATCATAACATGAACACAAAGATAATAATTGATCTAGCAAGGAAACAATATAAGACTAAACCTGGATACACCAGCCAGATGTCATAAGATTCGTACATAGGAAGATGGTCCAGCATGGGAACCGATATGAGCGGATGGTTATAGAGTTAGTATACCCATAAATAATCGATTTGTCTATCACTACAATCGACCCAAGATGAACCTAGACGCGAACAAGTTTAATTACACCATTCAGAACTGTCATTCTAAAATACACACAGGTATTTGCTGGAGAATACCTACCCACCACTATGTGATATGGTGCCAGTAATACTGATCAATCAACACAATATTAATTATGTCCTGTCGTCAATAATGATCACATTAGAACTATGTATTTTAATCCAAATGAAATGGAGAAAATCTGTACTCTGTCCCTTTCAGAACCAGATTGTCCAAATGTTTGAAAAACACAAATGTATGCTTGAGAATATAACGTTATGGTAAAGCCCGCCCCGTATCTCTAGAGTTTATGTATTATGATCCCTCCCCGATGATGTTGTATGATTGTGTACCAGTATGTTAAGATAATAGTACTGTTTATAACTTATATGTTTATTATGTTTATATTTGATTATGTTCTATTAATGTATATTATGGTTTAATCGTAATGTTGTGGTAACCCTCGAACAGAGTTATGCATCGCCTGATTGTTCTGTATGACGATGGTATGTAAGATAAGTAAATATGTGATACTGTATTATGTTATGACCAATACATTTTGATACTTTTGTTTTAATGTAATGACAGATGAAGTATAAGTGTCTATGAAGCACCTGTAATTAAAAATGTTGTCGCTAATAACCTTAGTCGTTGATGCGACAAAAAATAAACAGAAAAAAAATATTTTTTCGAAATCACATCTTTTCTCGAAACTTTTGCATTGATAGCCCAAAACTACAAATCAAAATCTAAAGATACTTAATCGCAAGCGCCGTTTTGATTAAATCTTTTGAGGTTTCAAAACGGCACTTATGTAAATTTTGAAACATCTTGCATGTTAATTGCATTACATGTTAATTGCATTTTAATTACTTGCATGTTAATTACATTAAAATAATCTTTGATGTATTTACATTAAAGATTATTTTACAGTATAGTACATTTTATGGACATAAATGATCGCAATAAAAGGGTCTAAATATTTACATGATTTTGATGTAAATACGCCTTGCTTTCCTTATATTCATTACATTAAGGGTCTATGCATGTAATCTAGATACCTATGATCCTTCAGTGAAGGGCAACGTGTGGAATACCTGCAAACGGTTTTCTTAAAATGTTCAATCATAATACACTGAGTTCAATGAGAAAAATCACATTTTCATTAAAATTATTGAATTTTCAAAAAATGAAGACACGCATTTGTTTCGAATATCTTACGCATCTTTTGATGAAGATAATTTTTCTAGTGATTACTGAAGTATTTGCATAATAAACGCACCAATGTTAAAATAATATGTAACTTCGTGAAGTTATGTTTAAGCCCTAGTAATTTCTCTCGGATCAATGTGACTTGGCGTCCTCAAATCTAGTTTCTGTCTCATACACGTTTCTTCCTATTCCTTACCTTCAAAATTATCAGGTAAATTTGACTAGTCAATCTAAATAGGATTTATAAATTACTTTTTATAATCCATAATACGTCGCAAATTTATGAATGATAATGCAGTTTAAAATATCACAAATAAAACTTTAAAAGCAAGTAAACATATTAACTTTCAAAAGTAGATGTTTTATCATTAATATACTGTAGTCCAATACTGAGCTGATATCAGCATGAGAATCTTCAGTTTAATTACATTCCTTAAAACTCTAGGAACTATTTCAGTTATAAGTGACAAATAATATTAAATATACGAAAATACCTGTGTCAAATGGCCTTCATCAGAGCGAAACCGAACCATTGGAGTGAAAAACGCCGGAGAAAGAATTGCTGACAAGGTGAGGCGCACCATCCTGGAATGAACAAGAAAAGAAAGAATCAATAAATGAGGAAAATGATGAATTAGACAAAGAAAGCAAGAATGAATGAATGCGTATATGAATGATTCAGCAATAATGTCACCATATATTATAACAATTTAAGACGTGTTAGAGGAAACATATTTCTGAGAATACCTGCTAGTACACGTATTTTTCGCCAGCAATATCGTGTGTGTTCAATACAGGCTACATTCAATACAGGTTTCTGAGATAGAAGTCTAGAAGTATAGCAATCGATTCACAGCTCACAACCAAATAATTTGTTCTCTCATGAAAATTTCTAACTTCTCACTAAACTCACTAAACTAATATTTCCTTTCCTCCAAACAGCGATAAATAACGTTATTGATAAATCATTTGCAACGCATAAAGTCCCAAAAAGTGATATTTCCAATCATAAGCTGTGAATGAATGTATATTGAATAATCATCTAATATATTATACCATCGTAAATAAACTCACACTTCTTGAACCTAAAGATGTGTCCCAAGATATATCGTCAATAAGTATAAAACTTTTGGACTCCTTACTCGCTGAAAGGTCCTTTTAATTTCGTTAAGCTTTAGAGGTACTGTGAAATGTTTGCACTCATGCAGTGTGAATTCCCAGATTTTCACATCAACACTGCCACACCAGTACCATTCTCTAAACCTTCAAAGTGAATTATGCAGACTACAATGAATATACAAAATAGTGTGCATCATTCTTCTGGAAATCATTACTGAAATGCAGTAATCTCGCCGCTCACCTCCTTCACTACTTATTACACTGCAAAATTTATTTTCAATGTTCACTTGCAACTCCTTGTTATGAGATCGATTATTTTAAAACCAAATGCGAGTTTTATGTGATGTAAATACTGAATAGAAACATTAAAAGTAAGGGGTAAGATTAAATGATTACCACTTGGAAATGAAATCATCGCTAAATCCAGGATTCCAATGTTTTCATTGGTTTCGATATATGAAATGAAGATGTTAAAATTTGTGATACAGTAAAGAAACGTTCTTGTCGTTCATGCAGTATCAAATATATTGTAGGTCTCTATAAAATAATGGTAGATTGAGACGAACGTTACAGATAAGATGAAGCAAAATTAGAAGTAAAATGGCGTTTAATGGAATATAACAAATTATTTATGAAACAAATAATTCTGAACAAAAATCAAATTTTAATAATGTGCCTATATTTGTCCGAATGCTTTAATATTACTATTTAAATATACACAAATATTATCTGAGAACTTTTAAATTTCTGCTACTCAGATACTGCGGCAGGACAAGTGGTACGAAGAAATAAATGATTGATTGCACTGTTGCGAAATTAAACTATTCTTACCCTTCTATTGAGAAAAGCGTACCATTGTACTGTCCGCTTGTCATCAGGACGGATCAGCATTGCTGGGAGATAAGCAATGCTTTTAACCTTAACCTTGACCTTGAATCTTGAATCTTGGAGAAATCTGAGTTTTTATCGGATAGTAGAGTACATTGTGGTGAGGCACCTTTCAAAATAAACTTTTTCAGAGATCATATACTGACCCATTATCTCAGTGCAATCATTAGTGAAGGAGGTGAACCAGGACAATTAGCTTCGAAAGGTTTCATCACATTTAAAACATCGATGTTTTTGTTGGTCGCAAACCCTTTTGGTGATGCCTCGAAGTATCGCTGTATGGACGTTTTGCCGATCTTTGCCACCTCTATTCGCAGGACTGGGAGACGCGCCCTGTGCCTCACGGCGTACCTCGTGCCGCGCGCGGGAGAGAGGCCGAGTACTCGGGCGGACGGCCACGGCGGCGGCGGCG